CTTCATACTTAAAGGTTGTTTTTGTTGGGTGTAATATACTAAAAATCCTTGCCTGGCTAGCGAGACTCACAGGTTGAGCTTCCACCCATGAATCGAGGTTACTGGTTGAATTTCCAGTCAGAACACATACCCAGTTAAGCAGGCTCCATCCCCAGTAGGTGGCGTGGAGGAGGCAGTCGATCAATGATTCTCATCATTGATGGTTCTATCTCTTCTGCTCCTTCTCTGAAATCAATAAAAAATACATATGTTTAAAGTCCTTTGTTATTTTCAGCATTTTAAGCACAACAGCACATTCTGTTGTCTTGGTATTACTCTAAAGAGCTGTCCTATTTATCCTGATTGGGATTTGTAGGACTATCGATCATTAGTTCTGAAAAAATTTTTGCTCTTAATTTCTTTAAATATTCTGCCCATTCTCTCCTCTATTCCTAGTACTTGTGTTAAATCTCAGATCTAACTTGTGTCACTTTATTGTATCCCAAAATGCATTTGAACTATAGTGTTTTCTATCCTTTAGTTTCCGCCATATTTTAGAAGATTGCTTCCAGCTCACTTAATTCTCTCTCTAGCTGTGTTTAGTCTACTGTTAAATCTACCAATTTTTCCCCCCTAGAAGTTCTGTTTATTTCTTTGCCAAATTAGCTATATCACCTTTAATAGATGACTTTCTTATAGATCACAGATGCAGACATTGTATTTTCATACACAGGTTAACATGTGTTTTTTTTTTTGTCTATGTTAATAGTTATACATTTGTAGCCTTCTTGACAATATTTAAATCTTTAGACACTGGTTTCTGTTGTATTCTTTTCTGTTGCCCCTATTGCTCTTAAAAATTACTTTAATGAATTATTTCAGGTCTAGGATGAAGGTGCCTTTTGCTTATATTTGGATATGCTGTCACAGACCACTTAAAGCTCATAGTTTGGGGTTTTGAGGGCAACACTGATTAAATGAATTTGGGCTTTTATCCAGGAGAACTGGTTTATTATCCCTGAGAATTTAGCACTTTGAGGTTACTGCTTAATTGGGGAGGGTTGTCATAAAGATTGCTCAACTTGAAAAGATTCAGAACTTTTTATTTCACCCTACAATAGTTTTTTTTTTCTTTTCACCCTACAATAGTTTAAATTTGTGGTCGGCAGTTGCCCTCGTGCCAAAAGGGACTTCCTTCTACTTATCTTTATGCTTCCTCTTTTGCCTTTTTGGGGGGATTAGGAATTCCTTACTATCTTATTAGTATTTTCTTTGCCTTTAGGATTTTAACAAATGTTTTCTTTTTTCTTTTTTAAATATATATATTTTTTAATTGGTATCAGAGAGGAAGGGAGAGGGAGAGAGAGATTGAAAACATCAATAATGAGACTCCTCACCGGTTTGGCTCAGTGGATAGAGTGTCCTCTCTGTAAAAAAAATCAATAAAATTATTTTTTAAAAATAATGAGGATCATTGATGGCTGCCTCCTGCACACCAACTACTGGGAATTGAGCCCAAAACTCAGGCTTGTGCCCTTAACTTGAATCAACCCTGGACTCTTCATTTCCCAGGCCAGTGCTCTATCCACTGAGCCAAACCTTCCAGGGCAACAAATATTGTTTTTCATTGGTATAATTGATTGCATGATCTAACTTCTCACTACCAGGAATGTAAATTCTTTAGTTTTCTTAGAAAGCATTTTCATGTGGGATTAATAAAATTCTCATTGATTTTAATAAAGATGGCCTATTTCAGAAGCTGTTTCTTGTTTAGAATGGATTTTTTTTTTTATTGCCCCCCCCCATACAAACCCTCCCTCCCCATAGTTTTGTGTCCATTGGTTGTACTTATATGCATGTATACAAGTCCTTTGGTTGATCTCTTATCTCCCCCAGATCTCCCTACCCTCCCTGCTGTAATTTGACAGTCTGCTTGTTGCTTTATAGAATGGATTTTTGTGTCTGCTCCATCAGACCTGATGATTCTGAATCTTTTTAAAAAAAATAAACTATTTGTAATTTTAGATTTACAGAGGAGTTGTAGAGGTAGTTCAGAGAATTCTTAAATACCGCTTAACCAGTTTCCCCTAATGTTAACATCTTATGTTACAGTGGTATGTATATTTGTCAGAACTAAAGAAATCTTTTAACTGTCATTCCATCTAATTATTTAAGTTTTTTACATGAATTTGTTTCTTAATATATATCCAAAGAGGAAATTTTTTTTATTTAATTCCGTAGATGATTAAATAAGGCAAGTTTTTTTCCTGAGTTGCTACAAAATTGATGTCAACCCAAGTGATCTGACTTCAAAATTAAGCCTACTTTAAAAAACAAAGTGTGGCCCTAGCTGGTTTGACTCAGCCTGCAGACCAAAGGGTTCTGGGTTCAACTCCATTAAGGGTACAGGCTCCTCCTTGGTTGCAGGCTCCTCCCTGGCCAGTGCCCTAGTCAGACCCTGGTTGGGGCTCATACAGGAGGCAACCAATTGATGTGTTTCTCTTTCATCGATGTTTCTCTTCCTCTCCCACTCTCCCTAAAAGTTAATGGAAAAATATATTCAGATTAGGATTAACAAAAACAAACAAAACAAAAAACCTCCAAAAAGTGTGTACAACCAAGAAATTTAATTTATTCAGAAAGGACAGATTGGTGAAGGCATCTCTGAAGACATCCTGTTCTGTCTTGAATCTTTTTAATAAAGAATCAAAAGAAATTTGTGAGAGTTTGAATTCTAAGTGTAATACCTTAAATTGGACACATGGTTAGCAGTGTAGGTGTAATATTACTCTAAATATTAGGTCTTGGCTGCTAAAATCAGTAACTCTTCTTAACACTTTAATAAGCGTATGAAGCATGTTGGTATAAGGAATTATATCTTACATCATTTTGTGAATGAAAGACTTAAGGTTTTAACTTTTTTAAAAATGATTTTTTAAAATATATATATATATATATATATATATATATATTTTTTTTTTTTTTTTTTTTTTTTTTTTTTTTTTTTTTTTACAGAGAGGAAGAGAGAGGGATAGAGAGCTAGAAACGTCGATGAGAGAAACATGGACCAGCTGCCTCCTGCACATCCCCCACCGGGGATGTGCCCACAACCAATGTACATGCCCTTGACTGGAATCGAACCTGGGACCTTTCAGTCCACAGGCTGATGCTCTATCCACTGAGCCAAACCGGTTTCGGCTAAGATTTTAACTTTTTAAAAGATAAAAACTTAATTTTAATTGGTGGGGGTTTCTAAGCTTAGTTAAAAAAATTTTTTTTAACTAATCTGTATTATTAGTTGGCATTCAGCCATTTTTCTGCCTGACAATAACACACTTTATCTTAAGTTTTAGTTTTCTAGAAGCAGGGTTTTTTAATTGGTTTTTGGTTAATCTTCACCTGAAGATATTTTACCATTGATTTTTAGAGAGAGTGGAAGAGAGTGGGAAAGACTGAGAGAAACACATTGATTGGTTTCCTCCTGCATGAACCCTGACCAGGGCCAGGATGGGGAGGAGCCTGCAACCGAGGAACATACTCTAGACTAGGGGTGTCGAACTCAATCAGAGAAGGGGCCAAAATCTAAAATCCAGCCTAAATCGTGGGCCGAATGGTTTACTGAACAGTCATAAACTGTCATTGTGATAGAAACGGGGTAGGAGTGCAGTGATGACAGCGCGGTGCGGGCCACATTGCAAGGCCTGGCGGGATGGATTTGGCCCGCGGGCCTTGTGTTTGACACATGTGCTCTAGACTGAAATCAAACCCAGGTCCCTTTGGTCAGTAAGCCGAAGCTCTGTCTACTGAGCCAAACAGGCTAGGGCTCAAGTTAATACTAATCTTAAATGAGATACAACTTAGGGAACTTAGTCTGTGCTTTGATCCGTTAACCAAGAGCATTGTTGATAATGTTCCAGCAAGCATATCTAGGTTAGGCTAATGGGTGTGGTGGTTATCAGTAATATGACAAAAAGTACATTTGAAGAGACAGGAAGTTTTAGTTGACATTGGTTGGAACCCAAACCTTTAAACTATCCTATATACCAGTTAATAACTATGCTAATTAGACCGAACTGCAGAACTACCATCTGGATGACCTTCCAGAAGAAGCTGAGGCTGTGAGGGCTGGCCAGGACTGCAAGGGCCAAGGCACTTGCATGCATCGGGCCTCTAGTCTGTAATAATAAAAGCCTAATATTAGACCCAGTCTGTCTGAAGCCATGGCAGGCAGGGGCTGAATTTTGTGCATCCAGCCTCTAGTCATTACATAATTTAAAAGGCTGATGTTTTATATAAGGATTTTTAAGCTTAAAAAAAAAAAAAGATTTTGGGGAGATCATGAGTATAGTAAGTAGGTGGCAAATTTTGGCTTTTAAACATGAATTTGAATTTGATAAAAATTAATGCTGTTCAAAATGAAGGGAATTTTGTTCTGTGAGATACTAAGTAGCCTAAAAGTTTATGCAAAAATTGACCATTCCTGGTTGTCATACTTGAATAAAGATACTTTGTAGTGTTTCTTTTCTGTGATTCTAACATACATTAGACTTTTTAGCAACGGTGCCATTGTAAAAGTCCTTACATGATAGATTCTAAATACCTACTAGTAACTTGCTTATTTTAAGTTGTATCCTTGGAAAAGTTTCTTGGGCTACATGAAAGTTTCTGTTCCATGATTTTTCTAAAAATATATTTTTTATTGATTTCAGAGGAAGGGAGAGGAAGAGATAGAAACATAATGATGAGATTGGCTGCCTCCTTCACGCCCCCTACTGGGGATCAAGCCTGCAACCTGGGCATGTGCCCTTGGCCAGAGTCTAACCGGGGACCCTTCAGTCCAAGGCCAGTTCTCTATCCACTGAGCCAAACCTGCTAGGGCTTAACTGATGCTTTTTTAATGGGAGTATACATTTCCTTTGGGATATTTTTCAACATGGTATTGATTTAAAGGGTTTTGGCTTTAAATAAATTGTATGCTTTTTTTTTTTTTTTTTTTTTAACATTGTTGTTTCTCTCCATAGATATTTGGAGTTCTTAACAACATGGCAGACATTGAAAAGTAAGTGACATAGTTCCTTTCTTTTTCAGATATTTGTACTGTGATGTAGTTAGCAGTACTAGCTGTGTAGTAGGAAATGTATGGGAATGACTAATGTTTAGTGCCTACTCTTTATAAAAGTTGGATACTATGTATCCAAGACAAAAGGTAGTATATATATATTCATTGTCATAAATATAGTAAACAATTTATCAATGTTTATTCTTAGGAAAGTGCTGAGCACAATAATGTCATAAATACTTGCAGAGCCCACTTTACCTTATAAGTATTTCCCAAAAATTTTTATGCCAAACATTGTAATGTATCATACATACAAGATAATGTTACAAAATGTCTATGTAGAGTTTAAAGAATAATAGGACACTGTACAGCTTTTAAAAATAGGACATTACTACTGTTAGAATGTGTGTCCCTTCTCACTTGCTATTTTGGCTTTTGTCTAATTTGTTTCTTTGTTATTTTTCTTTAGAGATTCATCACCTATAAATTCTTAATGTTTAATTCTGAAAATCTGAATAGTGGTCACACACTTAGGCATTATTACCACTATTAGTTGAAAGCTCCAAGACCTATCTAATAAAATAGTAACATGCTAATTGACTGTAGCTTTGTGATACCCACCAGCCAATCAGGAGTGAGTATGCAGATTAACCCAACAAACATGGCAGGTTGATTTGCATACATGGGCGCTGAGTGGCTGGGGATGTTCAGCACCACCCCAGCCACTCCAGGCCTCTGGGCAGCATGGTAAGGTGGAAAGGCTGCTCTGGGCCAGAGCGAAAGCAGTGCCAGCAGCCAGTGGAAGGAAAGCCCATTCTTGCACAAATCTTCATGCATTGGACCTCTAGTAGAAAAATAAAAGGCTACCTGGGTCATAGTCTGGATTTAAACTTTACTGAGGCTTTTTCAACTTTTCAAGGGCGTATTTTGAATAAGTCATTGGGTAAGTTCATGCATCCTGCAAACTGGGTTAATAATATAGTGTGGGTGGGTATCTTGCAGAAATATGGTCAGGAAAAATGGGATATGTTGCTTGTAATTTTACAGTAGCCTGCCAACTTAGAGGACTGGTTAAAACAGAATACTTGGGGGTAGGGATGGCATGATATGATTACAGCTGTTTCAGACAACAGAGCAAGGGGATGGAAAAGCAGGAAAATTTTAGCACAAGAGTAACACATTATATGTAAGAATCTGACTGATTTTCTCATGCATGCTGTCTTCAGAATAAAAAGGAAAGTGGCAGGAGGCATTTTTTGTGATCATGGCTTTCAAAGTATTGTTGCCTCAGTCACATTCCTCCAGTCTGGATTTCTTAGCATCAGCTAAGAAATTGTGCATTTATTTCTATCTTACTGAGGTTTCCTCAGTTTCTCCTCTCAGTTTTGCTGTTTGTGATATCCCCTGTTTTTTTTGTTGGTTCTTTAGTTTAGTATCTTGGAAAAGTACAAGGGAAGTAAATTATTTTAAATGGCATGAATGAAAATGACATTTCTGCTCTTGTGCATGATAGTTTGTAGAATTCTAACTTAGAAATTGTTTTTCTTAAGAATTTTGAAGGCATTGCTGCTCCATTGTCACCTGGCTTCCAGTCTTGCTGTTTTGGTATTCAAAGTCGTATCTTGATCATTTGTATATGGCACTTAAAAAAACACACCACACAATGTATCTTTATTCTGGAAGCTACTCTGGTTTCAGAATTCAGAAATTTTATATTATTGAAACTTTTTTTTTTTTAATCGCTTGTCTTGTGCATTCACTGGTGGACCTTCAGTACCAGGGAATATTCTTATTTTTATTCTTTTTTCTCTTTCTGGATCTCCTGTTATATTGTGTGTCGAACTAATTTCTTCTGATTACCTTTTGTACTATTTTCCATCTTTGTCTCATTGCTCTTTATAAGGAAAGCTAAAGAAATTTTACCTTTCAACTCTTTTATTGAGTTTCTAAATTTCTATTTTTTAGTTTTCATGAGCTCCTTTGCTCTCTGTTCCTATTTTTATAGCATCTTATTCTTGTTTTATGGATTGTTTTATTCTTGTTTTATGGATTTTCTCTGGATGTTTCCTTTCCCTGTGTAGTCTTTTTTGCTCAAAAATTTTATCCTTCCTCTGTTTTGGTTTCAATGTATGAGCTTTCCTCAAAAAAGAAGTTAATCATTAAGATTGGGGTGAGGTGGGTCAGGCAGTTGAAGAATGTTTTAAAAAGTTGACTAGAACATTTGAGTGTTGGGGGGGGGGATACTTATTCATTTGGGATTTTAATGTAAGGTCATTAGTGCGGGCATTTGTTATGAGAATCCCCAGTGACAGAATATTTTTTGGCTTTTTTTTCCTGGGCTGGTCAGATACACCTCAGTGAAGGGTAGGTGTTCTGAGAGCCAAGTTGGGAGGTGACTGCTAGGGAGGGGTTTCTACGTATTCAGTATTCTAGTGTGCATATTGTCATATCTTTGATATTAGTAACTGTCTGTGATCCTTCCGTCCAGCTTCTCAGTTTAACCCTTTCCAGTGAAGAAACTGTCATCTGCTGAAGTTGAACTGCTTATCAAGTTTTGCTCTGTCCTCCCTATTTTATTCAGATTAAGTGTTCTTTTTAAGATTCTGTGTTTGAGCTGGTTCTCAGCTTTCCCACTGCTTAGATTTCAGTCCTCAGTGAAGTTGCTGTTCCTGAGTCTCCTTGTCTATTCTTCAGAGTGTGTCTGTTTAAAAACCCTTTATTGCCAGGACCGGTTTGGCTCAGTGGATAGAGCGTCGGTCTGCGGACTGAAGGGTCCCAGGTTCGATTCCGGTCAAGGGCATATACCTTGGTTGCAGGCACGTCCCCAGTGGGGGGTGTACAGGAGGCAGCTGGTCGATGTTTCTCTCTCATCGACGTTTCTAACTCTCTGTCCCTCTCAATTCCTCTCTGTGTAAAATCAATAAAATATACTATAAAAATAAATAAAATAAATAAAAACCCTTTATCATAATTTTAGTGGAGATCCTAGAATGATTGATATCAGATGCATGTGTGTAATTTGCCATCTTAACTGTTTGTTTTTTAATACACATTTTTATTGATTTCAGAGAGGAAGGGAGACGGAAAGAGAGAGAAACATCAGTGATGAGCAAAAGTCATTGACCAGTTGCCTCCTGCACGCCCACTACTGGGAATTGAACCTACAGCCTGGGCATGTGCCCTGACCTGGAATCGAACTGTGACCTAATTCATAGGTCAATGCTCAACAACTGAGCCACACCCTTCAGGCACTTTGATTTTTTTAAATTTTGAGGGGAAAAAGAAAAGTTCATTACCTCTTTCATTATTTAATTTTGGATGCCTGTGAGCCTTTGGAGAGGAAAGGGAAAAGGGGATTCTTGTTATGTAAAGCAAAAGTAGCAAACTTTCTCTGTAAAGGACCTGATCTTAAATATTTATAGGCATTTTGGGCCATATGATCTTTTGTAACTACTCAGCTCTGCTGTACAGTGTGAAAGCAGCCATAGACAATACATAAATTAATTAACTGGCTGTATTCCAATAAAACTTTACTTACAAAAGTAGGAGTGGGATGGATTTGGCCATGTCACACAGTTTGCAGACCCCTGTGTTAAAGCTTTAAGATTTAGATGTTTAGTAAGTGGTTGAATGAAATGACAGTGAAGGAAGAGCAAGTTTATGCTACATCAGAGATACTCCAGAAATGATTATTTGTTTTTGATGAGAAGGCTGATTTTATTTTTCCCCCTTAGTTTATGGGAATTAAATTTTGCTAGCAGAATACAGTTGACTTTTTCTGTACTTGTCCCCAAATGAAAATTAGATAGTATTTGTCCATATATGAAACATTTTTAAATGCTTTTCTAAAATGAGTCAAATAGTAAAATCTCAATAGACTTAGATATTATTTACCTTTTTAATGCTGATTATAATCTCAATCTTCAGAAACTAGATTTTAAAGATGAAATGGGAAAATTGTTATCTATTTTTTTTACCTTCTCTTCCAATGCTGCCATCCTCCTGGCTTTGCTCTAAGCATAAAGTAGTCTCAAGGATGAAAGTCCACAGGCTGATATACAGTAGTTGTTCCATAGCCATCAGGGATCCAGAGTTCTTCTGTTTTTTCCAAACTCCTTCATCCTTAGCTAATGACTTCCTTTCTCTAAGTTACCTTATGGTCCCGGCTGTAGTCATCACATCCATATTCTAGGGAAGAAGCAAGGTCAGAAAGAGAGGCTCTTAGCTATTTGCCATCCTATAAAGGGAGGTTTCTCAAAGTTCTGTATTACTAAATTTCTCTTACTGCTAAAATCAAGTCATGTAGCCACAAGCTAACTAAAAGGTGGTCTGGAAAATGTAGATTTTTTTTTCTAGCTTTGTAAATTGCCATCTCATAATATTAGGGTGCTGTTACTAAGAAAAATCAATAGATGTTGGGTAGTAGACATACTTCCTGACACTATTAAACCATATTTTTAAAGCTTGAAGTATAAACTTTATATTTGATTACGTGCTTTTAAATGAAATTTTAAAATATTTGTAGTTGTTTACATATGAAGTTAGAGAGAAAACAGAATTAGCTTTTGGATTTTCTATTTCATATTTTTAAAGAGGCATATTAACCTAGGAAATGAATTGAAGTATTTCTACATATTTTATATTTTTGGTAATTTGGTACATTTGAACCTTGGTGTGATACTGTGATATTGTAGCAAAGAACAGTCTGAACTTGATCAAGATTTGGATGATGTTGAAGAAGTAGAAGAAGAAGAAACTGGTGAAGAAACAAAAATCAAAGGTATTATTTTAAATTTTTTCAGGCTTTAGTGATTACTGGCACATGTCTTCTAGAGCAGCGGTCACCAACCTTTCGGACCTCACAGACCACCAGTTGGTGACCGCTGTTCTAGAGGGTAGTAATAAATACCGTCCTCTTTTTGATCCTTATCCACCAGCCTGTACCTCAGTTCAGTAACAGTTTGTATGTGTATGTTTGATGTTGGGGGAGGGAAGAAAGAAAGGACGACAAGAGGATGATGGAGTTGAAATGATAGTAAAGGAGGAAGGTGTGAGTATAGTGACTCCTCAGAAGTACTATGTTTGCACCCTCTACTGCTGAGTGACATGGCATAGTTGGGTCAAACAGCTTAGCTAACCATGAGTTTTGTCTGAATTGAGAAATGTTAGAGATGGTGGAAGTTGTTTTTGGTGGTGCTTCTAAATACCACTAGTTTAGATTTACTTGAAAATGTTTCATATTTAATAAGTAGACAATATATATATTAACATATATATATATATATATATATATATAGTATGTGTGTGTGTCCTTTTTAGTTCAACCAAAAAAGAGACATTAAAATTAGTGGTGGTGGTGTGGAATTACTTTAGGTTTTGTCCTATAGATAGGAACCAAGAATATTAAGGGAACAGATGAGTCAACTTTTCATTTTTAAGCCAGAATGAGGTTAATTGTTAAGACTAGTGAACTTAGTTTTAGCCTTCATTATGCAACATTTTCTTAAAAGATAACAGATCATGTGTTTTTAGTGGCCAGTATTGATATTCCAAAGGCATGGCTTATCACAACTGTACATCTAATAATCAAATTAATATTAGCAGTCATTTGAAAACACAATTGGAAAAATTAAATGGAAATTTTGGGTAATGTCTGTTGAAGAAGATGGCAAAATAATTTTTGCATGTATCTAGCTTACATTTGGATTAAGTATAATTTCAAGACATGCTGATAACCAAGATTTAGTTAAAACCTTTGACTTATCTCAACTGTTAACTTTACCTATTGAGACATACATAGGCACATTATATAAACAAACATCAAATAAACAATTTAGGTTATTCATTGTACTTTTTCCCAGGCTCCAAACTGTCACTATATTTGCAGTTTTCTGATAATGTGTTGTCTGCCTTCGAAGACTTGTCGAGTCATAGGTAGGCATCTGGATGAAGCTTTGAGCATCTCAAAATGCAAGATGGCTGAAACACAGATGGTAGTAGTAAGAGAAGGAATACTGTAATAGAAGTTGTATAAATGGTCTTGAGACATGGCATGACTAGAAATCTTTAGGAATCTGAACATTATGTTTTCCTAGAATGAATTTTTTTAGCTTGCTGCTCATCTCTACTCATACCAGCTAGTCAGGAAACCTCATGATTGGATTGTCCTATGAAAATAGCATAATACGTTTTCATAAAATCCTTCTTTCGATGCCCCCCTCCCCCTTTTTTTTAAGCGCGTCAGCTGACTGTTCAGATGATGCAAAATCCTCAGATTCTTGCAGCCCTCCAAGAAAGACTTGATGGTCTGGTAGAAACACCAACAGGATACATTGAAAGGTACAAGTTCTTTTTCATAGTTCTTTCTTCTCTTTCTGTAATCAACATTGCAGGTGTATCTATTTTTAAGGCCATCTGGGACTTATGTACGTAATAGTGGAAAGCTCATGTTTGTTAATATCTAGGTTTTTCTAAGTACCACCGATTAAGAGTTGGTCTTTTTAAAGTTTAATTTCATTTCCACAGGAAGTATACTGATCTTAATCATTTCTGAGATTTATTTAGAGGTTTCATTAGAAATGCACAGTATTAGAAGAAATAACAGATTTCTTATTTAATTTGTTGGCAATATAAATCATTAGTAATAGCTCAAATATTCTATTCTGCTTGCAGTTTTTATATGGCTTTATGATTTTAAGATCCATCCATGTTATCTATATGTATCTCTAGTAGCTTCTAGCCTCTAAATGTTCTAGATCTCCTTGGTGTTTGTCCACCATGTTTTTTATTACATGCGTTTTCTTTGATGGATAACTAGATTGCCTCCAAGCTCCATCGACACAAAGTCCATTGTAATGGTCATTGTACATTTCCTCTTAAGGAGGAACTATGTAAGAATATTTTTAAGATTTGTCTTATCAGTGGAATTGCTAGTCTGGGCTTTCCAAGCCTTAAGTACTTGCAGCTTGCTTTCTAGGATGGCTGTATCCAGTACAATGAAGGTGTCCTTTCCAACAGTTGACATCATTCAACTTTATAGTTTTTTACTTTCACCAACTGAAGAGATACAGGCTTATTTTATTTGGATTTCCTGATTTCTGATGAGCTTTTTTCATCATGATTGTGAGACTTTTAGGTTGCTCATTTGTGTCCTTTGCCCTTTTTCCTATTTGGGCTTACTATCTTTTTCTTGTTTTGCAGGGTTTCTTATGTATTCTAGGTATTAGTCCCTTATTAGTCATTTTTACTTACTTTACACACACACCCTCTATTGAACAAAATTATTACTTTTTATGTTTATTCAATTTTTATCTATGATTTGTTCTTTCGAAGTTAAGTCTCTCCTAGTTCCTTCTCTATTTCCAATTGACTAGTTTTAGTATTAGGTCTTCAATTCCTCTAGGGTACATCTTTGTATTTAATGTGAATAGGCATTCATTTTTTTCTTTTTTAGTGTGCTAGCACATTTATTGCATATCACCTTTTTATAAACACCTGTGTTTGTCTTTGAGTAGGACTCTGCTGTTTCATTGATCTTTTTTTCCCTCTTGCTTTGTCATTGTCACACTTAATTACCATGGCTTTATAGTATGTTTTAGTACCTCAGGATGAGTTGCTTTCTTCTGCCACACACAAGCTCTCCACTCCCACTTCCTTCGTAGTTTGACCTAACCATCTATAGACCTTTAGCATACATACATGAATGAAAGTAAGTTTATCAGGGTTCTTTCAAAAAAAAAACAACTAAAATTTTGTTTTGCTTTGTTAATCCTCACCTAAGGATATTTTTCCATTGACTTTTAAAGTATATTTAATTGATTTTTTACAGAGAGGGAGAGGGATAGAGAGTTAGAAACATTGATCAGTTACCTCCTGCACACTCCCCATTGGGTATGTGCCTGCAACCAAGATACATGCCCTTGACTGGAATCGAACCTGGGGTCCTTGAGTCCACAGACTGACGCTCTAGCCACTGAACCAAACCAGCCAGTGCTCCATTGATTTTTAGAAAGTGGAAGGAGTGGAAGAAAGAGAGACAGAGAAATATGGATATGAGAAGGACACATTGATTGGCTGCCTTCCACTTGCGCCTACCATGGCCAGGGATCTAGCCTGCAACCGAGGTACATGTCTTTGACTGAAATTGAACCCAGGATCCTTAAGTCTGTGGGCTAATGTTCTATTCACTGAGTCAAACCAGCCAGGCCCAAACTAAATTTTTTATAGCTATTGCATTGAATAATTAAATATATTATTAGCATGGTAGGGAGTTATATAATTTTTCATATTAAATTGTTTTATCCATATCCTTGTATTTGTTCAAATCAAACTCTGTCTTTTATTATAGCTTTTCTATTGTATATAGTCCGTTCTTGGTTAATTCCTATATACCTTAGTTGTGCTGCTATTGTGAATAGTATCTTAATTTATTCTATATTTTCTCCCATGGGTAAAAGATCTTATCTGCAAATACTGGCAGTTTTAGCTGTAATCTTCCACGCTACACTAACCCACATGTTTGTTTTCTTTATAACATTGGCCAATATTATGGTGAGCATCAGTGTTAAAATGGACATCTTTGTCTTATTTCTAACCTTAACCAGGAATGGATATAAAATATCCATTAAATTTTGTGTCTATGATTTTCATGACCTTTTTTTTAATATTAGTTTAGATGGTCTTCTGACTTTTTCTTTGAATCATTAAATACATATTAAGTATATAGTTTTGAAATACATAGTTTGGATATCAAACTAACATTCTTGGAATAAGCTTAATCATGATGTATTGTTACATCATTGAGTTGGGTAATTAATACATTTATTCAGGATCCTATTCATTCGTGAAATGAATATATGCATGTATGGATGTACAATAAAAAAACTTTCAAGGTTGTTAATTCTATCCCCTGGTGTTAGAGTCAAGATTTGGACTGCCTATTGAAATGAACATGACTGCTTTTACTTTTTTTTCCTGTGTCCTGAAATGTCTTGTATAAGATAGAAATTAACTGTTTCTTGAACCGTTGGTAGAACACTTCTAAAAATTTACTTGCATCTTTGGGATTCTGGGGAATTTTTCTTATTTTTTTAATCGGTCTCTTCAAGTTCTCTTATGTCAGTTTCAAAGCTTATATTCTTCTAAATAATAGATGCATTTTATTTACCAAGTTTAAAATTGATTAGTATATACCAGTAATTCGTGCTATTATTTAAAATCTGTGATTATTTTCCCTTCGTATTTTGCATCTTTATCAGTTTTGCCAGTTGCTTCAATCTTGTGTTTTTTTTGTGTGTGTTTTTTTGAACCAGCTTTTGATTTTTTATTTCCGTATGTATATTTGTTAATTGGCTTTAATGTTATTATTTCCTTATTTCTAATTTTCCAATTTCTGTTTATAATTTTTAATTGAAATCTTAGTTCATTTGAATTTTTTAAAAGAGATTAATTTGTATCTTTGACCTTAATCTGTTTTTGTAAATGTTCTATGAGTATTAAATATGAAGATCTATTGTATATATTTAAATTAACAGCCCAAGCTTATTCATTTTGTTGTTTGGGTTCTTACTTCTCATTATTGTCCACTTGATCTAATAGTGTTTGGGAAGGATGTGTTAAAAATTTTTATCTGTTCTCACTGTAAATCCATCAGTTGTAGATTGTGTCGTAAATTGTTTTGAGATTAAGATAGTTTTCTTCTTGGTTATATTTATCTGGCATGTCTTTTTCCATCTTTGTATCTTACTCTAATGTGAATGTTTGCTTCTTTATTAATAATTTCAACTCTACGTTTCTTAAAAGTGGTAATATTTTGGACTGAATTGCTATCATATTTTCCTTATTTTTAAATTTATTGTTTGGTTTTTCTTCTGTTTTCCATTGAACAGAACAAGGTGACTTCTGATTTCAAAGTTAAATGCATTTATTTTTGGTGTTCTTATAGGAGAGTGGTTTATAACCTAGTACCTAATTTAATTTACTCCTATTGATTTTAAATTCACCAATATCTTTATTGTTTATAAATAACTTCTAGTCCTCTGTTTCTTTCTTTTAAAGCAAAAATAAAATTTCCCAACGTATTTGAACACCCCTTACCTTATCTACAGCCTCTCCTGGATTTTTTTTTTTAAACTTACAAATTATTTTTCAAAGTTCTCAATTATCTGAAAATTTCACTTTATTCTTGTATATGTACAGTATTTTCTTTTGAAGTCTTAGTTTGATTTTTTTTTTTTGTAGGTTATTTGCTTTCTTCATTGAAGTATTAGAATTTTTTTTGTTTTTCATATTCATAAATCTCATTAACTTGTCTGGGTTAGGGTAAAGATTTTCATATTGCTTTTTAACTTTGAGAAGTTCTCTCTTTTAGATATTCACCACCCTTTGTTTTTTAGCTATTGTTAACGTCATTCTTATATCATAGCTTTTCTTTCTCTTTTATCTGGTGAGCTTTTCAACCTCAGACTTTCTTCAGTTGAACCTGTCTTGTTTATCCTATTTGTTGGTCATTTTAGTTACTGCATTTTTCATAATAATCCTAACTTATTTCAGATTTCTTGGTCTTGTCTCATACTGCTACTAACTTCCCTTTTCTCTGAGTATGTTTATTCTGTTGAAATTCTTAGTCTAATACTTCAGGTGATCAGTATTTCATTCATTCTGTACTCAAGTGTCTAGCTATTTTGGCCTTAGAGTTTAGGGATTATGACAAGTATTAAGAGAGTAATGAATATCAGACTGGTTTATGACAATTCTTTAGAGTTTAAGAAGGGGGTGGAATGAACCTAAGGAGAGTTTCAGTTACTTGGATTTAAAGTTTGCTGACAATTATGGGCAGTTTTTTGGCTTCTTTGGGAGGAGGCAGTCTACTGATTGTAACCCATTCTATCTGGATTGAAGGGGGTGGAGTCAGTGCTTGTGGGTTTTGAGTCAGTCCAGTTTTCATCAAATCCATGTTATTCTGAAAACACTGGCACTGGGCTCTGAAGGGTTAGGGGGTCTGCAATGAGTGTTGAAAGGCAAGCGCAGCACTTAACGGCTACCTACTCTGGTCATCCTACGATGTTTTCCCAGGTGGTAGCTCAACCCCTATACCAGTTAACCACAGTCTTCAATCTTAGAAGTTGCTTGTGTATGTGTGCATGTATGGTATATGTACACATCGGAGTGGGAGAAGAGGTCAGCAACCCAATGACAGAACATTAAGCTTCTTGTTTGTGAGAAATAAAGTTGATAATGTTTTGGTATTTATTTTTTTGCTTGGTTATATATTTTTAAAATGTATTTTTATTGATTTCAGAGAGGAAAGGAGAGGGAAAGAGAGATAGAAATATCAATGATGAAAGAAAATCATTGATCAGTTGCCTCCTGCACACCCCCTACTGGAAATTGAGCCCACAACTCAGGCCCTTGACTGGAATTGAACCTGGGACTCTTCAGTCAGCAGACTGACACCCTATCAACTGAGCCAAACCGGCCAGGGCTTTACTTGATTATCTTAACTAAAGTGATTTAGTAAAATACTTTATTTACAGCAATCTGTCTATGGCAGGAAATTCTAATCTGGATTATAGGTCTGTTTCACAGATTTACTGAAGTTAGGTAAATTTTGAATGTTAGCATATTTTCAGAGGTAGAGGAGCTCACAGAGTAGGTGTGTGTAAACTTAAAAATCTTCCTTAGTAAGTTATATAAATACATGAGTTACATCTCAATAAAGCTGTTAGTTTTGTTTTGTTTTTTAAAAGTCCCCTCATCATAAAATATTATAGTCTTATTTAATATAATTTCAAATTCCAAGTTAAATAGAGACTACAATAGAAAATAATGGTGTAGAGTACTGTCCATTGTAACCCATTGTATCTGGATTGAAGGGAGTGGAATCAGTGCTTACCAATATACATATGCTCCCTTCCTTTCCCCTAATACTAACTTGTACAGATGAGATATTGTTTTTGTTTTGTTTGTTTTAAGAAAGTTCGGATTATCACTTAGCAATGTCATTCCACGGTGGTTGTTTTTTATTTATTTATTTATTTATTTATTTATTTATTTATTTATTTATTTATTTTTCCTCACCGGAGGATATTTTTCCATTGATTATTTTAGAGAGGGGGAAAGATAGAAAAGTCAATGTGACAGGAACACATCTATTGGTTGCCTCCTGTACAAGCCCCAACCAGGGCCTGGGCCAGAGAGGAGCCTACAACCAAGGTACATGCCCTTGACCAGAATTGAACCTGGGACACCTCAGTCTGCAGACTAATGCTCTATCCACTGAGCAAAACTGACTGGGGTCAGACTTTTTAACTTTAGAAAATAGGCTGTATTTTACAGCTGAGATGCCAATGCATAAGAACAAAGTGGAACTTGGGTACAATGAAAGGTCTGGGTTGATAATCTGATTTACATTTCCTCGTCAGTTTAATGTACTTGGCTAAATATCTACTTTTGAACTTTGATAGTACAGAGGCCTATGCATTTATACCTCTTAAAGTTTAATTATTTGGAGTTAGTATATCTTTGCTTCAAATAGGAAACCTATTATGCTTCAATTTCAACATGATAAAAGAAGTGTAACTTGTGTCTTCCTGGTATACTATGTAATTGATGCTTTCTGACCTTTCAGCTTGCCTAAGGTAGTTAAAAGACGAGTGAATGCTCTCAAAAACCTTCAAGTTAAATGTGCACAGATAGAAGCCAAGTTCTATGAGGAAGTTCATGATCTTGAAAGAAAGTATGCTGTTCTCTATCAACCTTTATTTGATAAGGTAATGCTTTCTATTACTTTGTTTTACATATGTAAAATTTGAGAGGGTAATAAAGCTCCAGAAGCAATTTTTTTTTTAAGGTTTCTTATTGATTTTTAGAAAGGAAGGAAGAAAGAGAAAGATCAATGTAAGAGCGAAACAGTTGGCTGCCTCCTGCACACGCCCTACCTTGGGTTCGAGCCCATAACTTGGGCATGTGCTTTGACAGGGAATCGAACTGGCAGTGCACAGGACGATGTCCAACTAACTGAGCCACATCTGCCAGGGCCATAAATAAACTTTTTTAGACCTCTCAGCAAAAATGGTTATTAAATCTATTTGGGAAAACTATCAATAATAGCAATTCAAGTTATGATAGGCATTAATTAAAATCTATGGGTTCCTAATGAGAAACAGCTAATTTTTAGCTTGGATATCATTTAAGCTTTTTTTCCTTCAATCACTTTAGCGATTTGAAATCATTAATGCAATTTATGAACCTACGGAAGAAGAATGTGAATGGAAACCAGATGAGGAAGATGACATTTCGGTTGGTACCAACTTTAATATGGGGTGTTTTATACTTTGGGAATAAAAGCATTTCCTTCGAACTTCATGATGACATACAAAGGATTGTTCCCTTTTTTTCAGTGAAGAAATGAAGGCTTCTAAGTGACTTGCCCACAACTAGTAATGGCAGAGCTGAGAAACAAATCCACTGCTCTGTTAAATGACCCTGTTTCTCCAGAATTGCTATTTTAATATTGTTTGCTTAAGAGAATATAATATTTTTATAAGAACATCAAGGAATAAAACAATGGACAAATTTTATATTTCTTTTGCTTTTCCTGTTTACTATGCTTAAAAGTAATTGTTTTTCATGGCTTTAAAAATTATTTTCCTAAAACTTTTTATATAACCTCATAATCCTAGTGGTTTTCTTTGGGAGCAGTATAGTTGTAGTGATATTTATAAAATAAGGTAACAGCAGTGTTTGCACAATTAGACTATAACTGTTTGGGCTGAAAGTTATAATCAGTGATTGAGGGTTTGTTAGTTTCTATACATAGGCCACTATGTTTAATGGGATGTATAAGATTTTATCAAGAGGTTTAATTTAGGGGCAAAAAAAAAAATCAATAAAATATATTAAAAATAAATAAATAAATGCAGTTAAAACGTTAAAAAAAAAAGTTTAATTTAGGTTTTCAGTAATGTATGCTGTTATTTATCAAGGAGGAGATGAAAGAAAAGGTCAAAATTGAAGATGAGAAAAAGGATGAAGAAAAACAAGACCCCAAAGGAATTCCTGAATTTTGGTTGACTGTTTTTAAGAACGTTGACTTGCTCAGTGATATGGTTCAGGTAATATTACTCATAAAAATAATCAGGTTACCTCAGAGAATGTAAACCTTTGAAATATAAATGTTTGATGACCAGTCTCTCTGTAGTTGATATTTGTAGAATGGTTGCTTTCTCTTGAAACAGCTGTTGTCTATAGAAGGGAAATTGCAGCTTTTTTTAATGTAACCAAATAAATTATGATTCATTTTAAAAAACAGATAATGAAATAGTCCCTTTAATAACTGGTCATTATTGTCTTGTGCTTTCTCATGCTAGCTTTGTGCCTTCTGTCTCTAATGCTTAGTGTGTAGGTGGTGGAATGTGAGAGACTCAACCATGTCAATAGTCTTACCCAAAAGACCTTTTCAGTCTGAAACAACTATTCTAAAGTACATTTATATTTTATAAGAATGCTGTAAAAATATATATTTTTATTGATTTTTAGAGAGAAAGGAGAGGGGGAAACCAATAAAAACATCAGTGATGAGACAGAATCATTGATTGGCTGCTTCCTGTATGCCACACACTAGGGATAGAGTCTGCAACCCTGACCGAGAGTTGAACTTTAACCTCTTGGTTCATAGGTTGATACTGAACTACTGAGCCACACCAGCTGGTCTATCTTTAACTCTTTTATAATTGTCACTTTCTCTGGGGAACATTGTCTTATAATCAGAAGCATTTCTTGAGCCACTGCCATCTGCACTGTAGTACTTGTTTCCTGATACTATGATTGTTGGAAGTTAGTATCAAGAAAAAAAAGTGATCTCAAAACGATGACTCCTTATTAGAAATTCCACTTTAACCAAGTAGGAAAACATCAAGCAGAAAGAAGGAAATGAATAAGAGCAGCAGTTACAACCACAATCAGGAAACATTTAAAAGCAAACATGCCTATTTTAGACTTGGTTTTGTGTTCTTTAGCCCATTCAATCTGAATAATGAAGTAATCATTGCTACTTAAAACTTAACTTGAAATGTCAGTCATCTCTGTTCATTGCCCAGTAAGAAAACATTAGTCCTAAAATGCCACATTATTAATTTTTTCTTTTCATTTTTTTAAATTTGAAGGAACATGATGAACCTATTCTGAAACACTTGAAAGATATTAAAGTGAAGTTCTCAGATGCTGGCCAGCCTATGGTAAAAACTTTGAAATACTTTCAATTTTTGTAACAGATGATTACAGATAAGTAAATGGAACTTTCTAGAAAGAGGTGTGACATTTAAGAGTTAGAAATGGGGATGAGGAGAAATTAAAAGTGATACATGCCAAGGAAACATGAATAAGAAAGCACTTATTTTATATTAAAAGACATGTATCTGGGACTTACATAAAATAGAAGATACTAGAGGGCCCTTAACTTCCCATTATGAGAGCTCAACCAACAACTTTTCCCAAAACCATCACTAGTGTAATGTAAAGTATGGGCAAAGCTTCTAAAGGCTATAGATTCTTATATTGGCATGTAATAAGGTTGGGCCTTTTATCTGTCCAGCTTAGATTCTAGTATTAAGATTTAACATTTCTCTTTGTGAGGATGGAGAGAGGAATGAGGACTGGCCATTTTATTCAGATTTGCCCAACCTATTTCATAAACATGCTACTAAATAGTATTGTATGCTGAACTAAGTTTTGTGCACCATTTTGCTTTTAGCATAATGGGGATTTATCTGACTTTCCCAGGGTGGGGAAAACACTGTCACTTAGAATTTTATGTTTATAAAAACTAAAGATAAAGCTTTACTTAGTAAAGAATTGAAATTATGTGGGAATTTAATTTGTTTTTATACTTTTTTTTTTTTTTTAAGAGTTTTGTTTTAGAATTTCACTTTGAACCCAATGAATATTTCACAAATGAAGTGTTGACAAAGACATACAGAATGAGGTCAGAACCAGATGATTCTGATCCCTTTTCTTTTGATGGACCAGAAATTATGGGTTGTACAGGGTGAGTTTAATTTTATTATATTAACAGAATGTTAAGTCTGTATTTGTAGTACTTATGATTTGTGGTATTGGTATTTATATGTCTGTGTGTGAGATACATTCATAAATAGTTTATCTCTCAACATTTGAGTAAAATGTTATCTGAACTTAGCCATTTTCTAGAATAATTCTTGGCTTATGAACTATTACATTTTTTCAAAGGAAATACACATTTAAATTTATTATATTGTGAGTTTATGGTGATTGTAAATATGTTTATTGAAAAATTTTGTTTAGAAATAAAATTTTTCTCTTTACACTGCTATAGAAAGCATTTGGACCAATTTGCCCTCTAAAATTTAAAATATACTATTTATTTGGGAAAATCTTAGCATTTGAAAGTAATGTGTTAATTGTGATAGAAGATTTTTTTTCTCTGTTTTGGAAGGTGCCAGATAGATTGGAAAAAAGGGAAGAATGTCACTTTGAAAACCATTAAAAAGAAACAGAAACACAAGGGACGTGGGACAGTTCGTACTGTGACCAAAACAGTTTCTAATGACTCGTTCTTTAATTTTTTTGCCCCTCCTGAAGGTAAATGTGTTTTAGTTTGCATATTGGTGGTTGTTTTATTATAAGCTTTGTTTAATTTTTTTATTCATTTGAATTTCTCTTCTCAATTTTACAGTTCCTGAGAGTGGAGATCTGGTAAGCTGAATTGTTATTTAATTGTTGAATTGTTTACTGTGCATGAAATTAACAGACTGGTTCTCAAAAGTGAGGAGTGGGGTAGTTGCTACTAGCATTTTGTTTTGAGGTTTATAGTGCATGGGGATGCTCTTGATGCATCTGAAAAGTTCCATTCAAAATGCTCAATGCTTTCACTGAGAAATGCTGAAACTCAAGATTTTCTTTTCTTTTGAGACTTGGCAAATACTTAGGTATTCAAAGTTTTCTTCCTTACTGAAACTAAATGTATTTGTTAAAGCCTGAGTGAGGTTCTATTATTCCACTTGGTGTTTTTAGTAACTAATACTTTAAAAAGGAAAACTGCAGTTATGTAATTAAGTTGCTTTATTTATATTTTACTTTTAAGCCATAAAAAACAAACAACTAGTTCACTAACTTTTTACTTCCCTAAATTTCTGAGTATGTACATTGTTCTGCTAATTTTCTTTTTTTTAAAAACTGTTGCGTCATACCACATTTAAGTACTATGTTTTCAAATGACAGAAAGTTAAAAGTGAAGTTGAGAGTTACTTAATGATTTAAACCCAAGAGTCTTGCATGTGCTGATTTAAATAACAAAGTTAAATTTTGTGCTTTTGATTTTCTTAAATAGGATGATGACTCTGAAGCTATTCTTGCTGCAGACTTTGAAATTGGTCACTTTTTACGTGAGCGTATAATTCCAAGATCAGTGTTGTACTTTACTGGAGAAGCTATTGAAGATGATGATGATGATGTGAGTGGATCTGAATCCTGTAATAAAGTCATTTGGTGAGGGTATGATAATCAGAATTGGTGAGAGTTTTAATGAATTGATGTAATTTTTAGAAAGCACAACAGAGTAATGCTATTAGGATAATTTCTGATGTCCTGTAGATAACTTTTCTGAGTTTTTTTTAAGTAGGTCCTCTTTGGGTTCATTTATTACAGTTTTTCTTTTTCTGCTAATAGGAAGACTGCTCTGAATTAGTGAAACTTCACAATGTTTGGTTAATACTGTAGATCTATTATGCTCTTGTTTTTGACCAAATAAAACATGCCAAGAACTTTTTTTTTTAGTGCTTAAGATAACAATAGTAGGAAGCATAGAATTTTTATTCCAAGGAATATTAAAGATTTAGGTAACATTAGATTGCCCTTAAAGATTTGGGTGTCTTATTGCTAAATGGCAATAATTCAGATAGACATTTTGTGCATTGTGTTCCACATATAAGTATAAGAAAGTAATATTTACAATAAATTCTGTTATCATTCACTTTAGGGAAAATATTTTTCCTTTTTTTTTAGATACTAGTGGATACAATGATGGATGTAAATAATGTTCTCAGAAGTTTGTTCACTTCATCAAACTTGACCCTTTTTTTCCTTTTTTTAGTATGATGAAGAAGGTGAAGAAGCGGATGAGGTAATGTTTACCAAATGAGCAAATAATACTGTTTAACACACTGAGAAGCAAATTTGACTTATGTACTCCTTTGCTATAATCATTATTCTGAGATAATGCATTAAAAAAAAACATTTTTGGAAAAATTATGATTTTAGAATCTACAGCCAAACTATGTATGTATAAGGTTTCAATAAATAAATTGTAAAACTCAGAACATTTTTTTTTTTTATTTCAAATAATTCTGTTCTGCTGCAGGGTTATCAGCTCTTTGAAGAAGTCAAAAGCTGCAGTAAACTTTTTCCACGTTGGCTGCAGTAAATCTTTTCAATAAAAGCTGTCTGGATATCTCAAGTTGTGTTGGGAAATTTTTCATAATAAAAGCTTTCATATTAAATTGCATTGTCACCAAACTCTGTAATCATGAAATTCTGTTGACCTATAGAGTAATTTGTATTAAATTCTTCCTACATTATGAGCCATTTCTTGCCTACTATGTACCTACTTCATGGATGCATTTTGAACTTTAATATAGGAAGGGGAAGAAGAAGACGAGGAAAATGATCCAGACTATGACTCAAAGGTGAGTATAATTAATGCTGTTTTTTATTAATTTAAGGCAGGTTAAATAAAAGTTAATATCTCAATATAAAGTTTAATTTTATCCATTAAAAATGTTTAGCCCATATATAGTCCTCACTGGCATTTCAACAATACACTTAATTTCAGTGCATCTCTTAAGAAACTTATTTTAGGTCTGACCTTATATTTTTAAATTCCAGACTGAGCCCTAGAATTCTTTTTATTTTTCACTTTTATTGTTTTTAGAGAGGAGGGGAGAGGGGAGAGAGTTAAAGAAACATCAATGATGAGAGTCATTGATTGGCTGCCTCCAGCACCCCTTACTGGGGATTGAGCCCATAAACCAGGCATGTGCCCTGACCTGAAATCCAACTGTGACTTCCTGGTATATAGGTCAACAATCAACCAGTGAACCATACCGGCTGGTCTAGGATTCTGTTTTAATGGCATGCTATCATGTACATTTTTAAAGAAGCATTTTAAATTATAGCTTGTGGTTTTAGGCTGTTTACCCTCCAAAGGAAAGCTTATAAACAAAAGTCAGTTTTTAAATTACCTTAATATAGGAGTACGTGGGATTTAGGGGACCACCTCTCTTCTCCATATGAGTCCCAGGAATTTTTCATATCAGGGTTAGTAAAGGCCTTTGTTTTTAAACTGGTTTCTTTTGAATTCATTCATTTGCTAAATGCCACAAAATATCCAAAGATACTTTAACCTACTGGGCAGGTAAGAGGAGATAGTTAAAAATCAAATATTCCAACAGGTATGACTTACTCATAACAACTATTTATGAATGGAATTAGTATTTTTTTTGAGCAACTGATCTGTAAAATAATGGCTATTATAACTAACAGATTGCTTGGTTATTTAATTTTTCAAGATTATGGCTCTGTCTCACTTTATGGAGTTCATTGTATTGTGTAAAATTTCCATTTTATTTTAGCATTTTCATGATCTGCTAATGTTTGAATAATAATTTGCTATCATTGCTAATACCCTCTTTTAAAATTTGGCAAAATTTTTGACAGCAGTGAGATAATTACTAATGAAATATTAACTGAAGCTGGTAGAAAAAGATAGATTGACTTGTTATTTTCCTTTAACAGAAGGATCAAAACCCAGCAGAGTGCAAGCAGCAGTGAAGCAGGATGTATGGCCTTGAGGATAATCTGCACTGTAATAGCCTAAACACAACTATTATTTACTTACAGACTTAACGTTTTTGTATGTTCTTGGTAGCCCCAGTAATTTTTTTTAAAAGGAAGGAATTGATACTTTAAAGACAATTTTGTTCTACCTAACATTTTAAATTTAGTTTTTCTGCCAGGTATGTTGAATGCAGAAATTCTCTCACACATTTTCATTCATTGCTATATAGTTTGGTTCTTCTGGGGTATTTTTATCATGTAACTATTAGATACAGCTATGAAAATAAATGAACTGTTAAATGAAACAGATTTTTTTGTTTTGCTAATTTTTTTTTTTCCCTGAAGAACCAAAGTATTTTTTCAGCTGGTAGTTAAGTGGGTTTAAGTTTTGTCTTTCATTACTTTGTTATAGAAATACAGTGCCTATACTGAAACAAGTCATTTTAAAAACAGAAACAAACTGGGCAAGACAATCTATGGTTAAGAATTTCCAGTAAGACTACATCTATTTGATTGTTCAATGGATTTTTAATATTTTAGGAGATATAGTTAACTATAAAGAACCCTAACTCAATTGTGTGGTTATTGGCTAGTTACCATAGGGAGATAAATAAAACTTAGTATTTTCAGACGTTAAACTTTATTATTTTAATTGTACTTTTAAAATTAACCTCCATTAACTAAACATCTCTTCTTTGGTAGGGTCTACCTTCTGCTTCCCTGGAAAGGATGAATTTTCATCATTTGACAAGTTCATTTCAAGTTTTTTGTTTGTTTGTTTGCTTATTTTTGTAGCCTAAAATAAAATGTCAAATATAATTTTAGTTCTCACAAGATTATGTCTTATAATTTTGTACTAATTCAGGCAGAAGTGAAGCCTTAGCTTGAATTAAGTATTATACCCAGTTTACTATCATATTGAAGAAAAGGGTGCCAACTCTGGAAGAGGTGTGCTGCATTTAAAAAGAAAAGAAAAAAAAAGAAAAAAAATGATGTAATTTTTTAAAAGAGTAAGTTAAGTTTTATTTCCTTTGGTTAGAATATGAGAAGGCTGCAGGCCTCTTGATTAATTCCAATTCTTATTGTTTAAAGTATGAGTATGTTGTTTACCCATGCTTCTGTTTACTATGTATTAAAATGGGTAGTACTGTTTACTTAACTACCTCACATGTGTTAGGCATATTAAATTATATATGAAATGTTTCTCAACCTTATTGAAAGCTTACAAATTTGGAACTTTTTTGCACCACAAATATGATACTCATATTTAGTCTACTGCAGTTTGCTAAATAAACCGAAAACAAAAGTTAAGTACTTTGCTCTGGATCTGGGCAGGCAGGCTCTTTTAGTGGCTCCTTATTTAATAGAAGTGGATGGATGACCAACTATTTCAAAGGTCCAAGAATTGTTTTTAGGTATTTTAGTTATGACCATAGAGATCATGGTTCTAAAATAGAAGTAAGACTGTTTTTAAAGGGGTAGGGGTAATCCCATTAAATTTGATATTGTAGAGCCACATTTAAAATACCTCAGGCTAATTACTGTTAATTTTTTACTTTAAAGTTTTGTCAGTGAGGGTGGACTAATTGGATTGTAATTGGAGAACAGCTTAGAGTTTCTGCTTGTAATAAAATAACAGGTTCATTTTTAGAAATGATAGCGTTTCCATTTTGAAAATTTAGTATTACAGTCTTAGAATGTGAATGAATACATTTTGTTATTTGTGTAGTACTATCTTTTTCGAGATTCTAATTAACTACTGGAAATCCTTAACCAATTGCAATAGTTTATAGGGGGAAAAAATGCCATGAAAACACCTGATGTTTTTCCTCTTCATTTTCAAAATGGTTTGGGTTGCTTTGATTAGACCTTCTGTGATGATTTTTTTGTACCCATAGCCATTTGAACACAGATGAACTTTAAAAATGTTAAAATAATAAATATAGGTTCTCATTTTTATATTAACTTTAAGTACCAGAACCACTATATTCTTTTTTTCTTTAGGAAATAGCTATTGCCAAAGTGAGGGAGTAGATACTATTTATCTCATTATATAAAGGCAATGTGATTTGCAGAGGAATTGCTCTCTTAATAAAGTTGGGGTTTCAAGGGATATCAGTGTTCATCTATGCCATCTCTCCAGTTCCAAAAGGCTTTATTCTATTCAAGAAATTTGAGACATGTAATTGGAAGATCTTAATAAAATTTGCATTTAATTTTATAAAATGTACTGGTGATGTTTTGGGTGGTTTTTAAATAAAAATACTACTACCTTTTTGTAAGAACAGTGAATAGAGATGTTTCAAGTTGGCTATTCTGTGTTTAGACCATGATGGTCTGTAAATTTGATTACTTCTAAATTATGAGCAACCTCCCAAGCTCTGCTGAATGGAGTTTCTATTTGAAGACTAGAAAGGACTTCCACAGATTTTACTGAGAAAACTTCCAAGTTTTTAGTTACTAGTTTCCTTCTACCCAGGCATTTGCTGCCAAGTTCTCAGTAATTGAACTGTGTTACTGCTGCTTTTAAGACTGAATTTGTGAGTTTATCCAACTTGTAGGTAATTCCCATTATTAAAAATAATAAAACACCAGACCATGCAGAAATATTAAACTAATATTAAAGTATTCCTTATTGATTGCAGGGCATGGTTTAGCATTTGAGTCCATTTTTATGGATGATCTTATAAAAATTATAGCATTTATATTTTTTACTGTGTAAACCAGATGCTATTTTAAATGTACAGAATAAACAATTGGCTTAGAGCAAGCATACGTACTGTCTTCTATAGGAAACTTAGAAGAGAAAAGGCATGTGAACTTAATGGGTTTTTTTTTTTTTGAATCTTCACTGTATATTGGTCATTGTAAACCATTTTGTTTTGAAAATATTCATAATTTAGGTGATTTGCTATATAAAACACTAATAGCTGAAAATTAAATGGTGAAATTACATTAATTTTCAGCTATGTAGTGATGATTTTTTGTATGCTGGTTTAAAAATCCAGTTACTAAAATTGGATAAAATTTTAGCCAAGTTCTTGGACTGATAAGAACTTCAAAGAAATGGAAACATCTTTGTTGGAGTGTGAAATTATTGAAGGATAAGTGTTTATCCATGAGAAATCTTGATTGTACTATTTAGTTGAACATTTAAAAAAAATAACAGTATTCTTTGTAGCTTGTGTTTAAGTATAAAATGAGAAACAGTCTAAACAATTTAGAAATAATAAATTGTCAGCAGGAAGTAAGTCCTTAAATGCAGTTGTTTAATTTTGAAACTTGGGATAAAATGTTGCTTAAAATCAAAGCAATGCTTTTATTTATTTTTTTAAAATATATTTTATTGATTTTCTTACAGAGAGGAAGAGAGAGGGATAGAGAGTTAGAAATATCGATGAGAGAGATTCATCGGTCAGCTACCTCTTGCACCACCCCCACCGGGGATGTGCCCGCAACCAAGGTACATGCCCTTGACCGGAATTGAACCCGGGACCTTTCAGTTCAGAGGCACTGAGCCAAACCGGTCTTGGCCAAAGCAATGCTTTTAGATCTTCAAGTATTTTAAAGGCAAGAGGGAGGAACTGGGAACAAGTGATGAAAATAAAAGGGCCAGAAGTTGGCATATCTCAGCAAGAGTTAATGATAGTTGTATTCATAATTTGTCATAATGAAATTAGGCAGTTGTAGCTCTGAGCTTTTCATGGAGTGGTAAAATAGTTACTTTTGTAGGGTTTTTTTTTTTTTTGGTGGTTAATCCTCACCTGAGGATGTTTTGTTTTTTGGTTTTTTTTTCTTCTTGATTTTTAAAGATCGTGGAAGGGAGACAATTGATTGGTTGCTTCCCACATGAGGCCCCTCGGGGCTTGTATGAATTGAACCTGTAGACCCTTTAGTTCATGGGCTGACTATCCACTGAGCCAAACTGGCTAGGATGAAAATCATTACTTTTTAAAATGTTTAAAACCCTGGAAACTACCTTAGTATTTGAAAAGTGAAATTATCTTCCAAGAACTTGTAAACTAAGACATAAGGACATTCATTTATGCTAGTGGTCTTCCAGGCTAATTAGAGGCTACCCTGTCAAAAGCAGGGCAAATTTCCTCTTATCTGCAATGAAGTAAAATACCAGGATTTTGGTAGAAGGGGGTGCTTATCTTTTTTTTTTTTTTTCTCTAACAGTTGAAAGAATTCCTGTATATTCTTTTTGGCTCATCACCATTTATTGATGTTGCTACATAAATTTATATCGTGTATGCATTTTTTAAAAAAACTTTGACAAAGTTGCAGGCATCATGCCCTTTCACCCTCTAAATGTAGTGGTTGCTCATTACTGGAAACATTCTTAGAGAATCACAGTACAGTTAAAAATCAGGAGAACTTACTATGTAATCACAGTTCATTTTGATGCTTATATTATCCCAGATTTGGCCAGTAAGATTTCCAAACTGGTTCCTCTGCACTTTTGGTAAGTTTTGCATCAATTGAGCACTTAACATACTTTAGTTCAATAAGTCTCAGGGCTTCTCTTAGACTTTTTTTCTTTTTTTTTTTTTTTTTTTTTTTTTTTTTTTTTTTTTTTTTTCTAAATATATTTTATTGATTTTTTACAGAGAGGAAGGGAGAGAGATAGAGAGTTAGAAACGTCGATGAGAGAGAAACATCGACGAGCTGCCTCTTGCACAACCCCCACCGGGGATGTGCCCGCAACCAAGGTACATGCCCTCGACCGGAATCGAACCCGGGACCTTTCAGTCCGCAGGCCGACGCTCCACCGCTGAGCCAAACCGGTTTCGGCATCTTAGACTTTTTTTCTGTCCCAGCTTTAATTGGCTATTTCTCCAAAGATCTCTGGAAACCTTGAAGGGGAATTGTAGTTATAACCCAAGTCTGGGTGCTGGGTGTGCTTATTTCTGGGATGTCCTTGTATCAACAGACTTAGGAAACATCAGAAAATAAATACACACTAGACACTCTAAAAATAATGCAACACAATGGGATTCCTAACCTTGCCCAAGTCCATATTTATAACTGCCTTCATCCAGGTGGTGAGTAGCTGATCTAGTTGGGGATTCTAGATGAGGTTGCTCTACATGAATAAGAAAAGAGTAGAAAAGAAAACTTAATTTTTAGACTTACCTTGTAGGCCCTAAACAAATGATTGATATATTTAATGGACATTGGAATAAAATAGTTCTTATATTGCAAAATAGAATGGTTGAACAGCCTTCAGAGTCCATTTGTGTTTATTCAGGCTCAGTGTTTTGATAAGTTGTGAAAGATTTGGTTAGCACTGAGGACATACTAGTATTTGCAGAATACTTGAGAATTTAATAAGTGTGCATTCTAACAAAATCTTGAGTTTGTGATTAAGATAAATCTTTAGCCCTAACCAGTTTGGCTCAGTGGATAGAGTGTTCACCTGCAGACTGAAGGATCCCGGGTTCAATTCCAGGCAAGGGCATGTACCTTGGTTTGGGCACATTCCCAGTAGGAGGCAGCTGATCTGATGTTTCTCATCGATGTTTAACTCAATAAAAAATATTTTTTTAAAAAAATCAGTCTTTAAACTGATGTTTGCCTTTAATTTAAGAAGTAGTTGGAGGAGGGCTGTTTCTTTTGTTCTAAAGGTAAAATCACTCCTGGCTAAGTGGTGCCCTATTTGATGTACAAGCAGATTTTGACTGCATAATAAGCATTTTGAAGGTTTTCATGTAGAATTTAAAGAAAATTTTCCACACTTAAAGTCAGCTTAAGAATTAATTTTTTAAAAAATTCGTGTTGAAACTAAGATGGTGGCATAGGTAAACACCTAAACT